AAAAATTTTGTATTTTAAGAAATGCTGAAAATTCGAGATAAATATACGTTCAGCAGCTGCTAAAAATCGTTTAAAATATATTGTAAGATTGAAATTTTTATAGAGAATTCTTTCTTGCATAAGCAATAAATCATTTTATTTAAAATTAGAAAAGAATTAGAATATTTCACTGTTTGCCTAGGCATTTGAGAAAATGCTTGATTTTACTCTTTGTCTGTGACATATCCATCGATACGTATATTTGTTAAAAAAAATGTTCGACAATTGTTAGATAAAACTCAAATTAATCAATTGAAATGTCTGCCATTTCGAGTCTCCGTTAGATAAATTGACAAAAATGGTCTGGCCTGAAGTCCACGCAAGTATGAGATAATACAATCCAAAAAATTTAAGAAATCGGGTTGATTTTTCTCATCAAATATTATCCAAGATTAGATGTTGAAAATAATTCCGATCGGGTATTCAAAAGGTCAAATCTCTGTTGTGTCTGTAACAGCCGTTATTAACTTTTCCCGTTTCACATCAGCCTTATGGAGCTTGCTACTGCACTGAGGGAAAACGCAGTATGAACTTTTAGATGAAGCCAAATTTCCTCTAATTAAGAAGTATTCACTAGAAAAATCGTGAGTATATTTCCTTGAAATTTTTAAGTAAAAACGGCTCGGCATAGGAGCATTCAAATTTTGCCAAATATCCTCTCTTAGAAAGTATTTATTTTTGACGAATGTTATTTATATTTTTCCTAGCGATTTTCAGACATCTCAGATCAAATTGCGAACAAAATCTTCTGAAAAATTGGTAGAGGAATATTCTCAAATTTCCCTGAAAATTCGTGATTTTTCGTGGGATATTTAACAACGCCCGATGGCCCATACGGCGTTAGGTATTCCTTAGCAAGGCAGTCAAGTCCACGCAGGCACGAAATAAAACAATTCAAACAAACTTAAGAACCTAAGTTGACTTTTCTCTTCAAATTTTATACAAATTGTTGCTAAAACTAATTCTAAACGTGTAATCAAAATTTCAAGTTCCTGCGGGCTGATTTTTGAAATTGAAAGACGAAATTATGGACAAAGAAGACATAGTAAGTATGAAGCGATCCTTTCGGTTGAAATTGTTGGTTCCTATAGACTAAGAGAGAAAATGATGGACTAACCACAGGGTCTCTCGTGGGTTGCCGTTAGGTAGTCTATCATCAAACTTCTTTTTCCATTGCAACCACCCGCTTTCACCAGTAGGATCCCTCCTTATCCCTTTTTTCTTCTTTGTCCATAGCTTTGTCTATCATTTTCAACAATGATCCTGCAGGTGTGTTTATAATTCACTGGAAAAAAAAACACATTGGATCTAGAGTCAAGACTCTTAAAAACATCGACAAGAAAAAGTACTCTTGATTAAATCAGAATCTAGCTTAAATCAAGAACCAAGCCTCTTAATTTAAGCGGATTTCGTTTTGATCTAAGCAAAAATCCGATTGAATCAAGAGTATTTTTTCTTGTCAATGTTTTCAAGAGTCTGGACTCTTGCCCCAATGTGTTTTTTTTACAGTGTGCGCCATGGCACGCTGCGGCGCGGCGGGCGGGCGGCCGACCAGCGCAGCGCAAAACGCGCACTGGCGCCTACAAACCTAAGTGGATACTTCACGCATTGCGCAATGCGTGAAGTATCCCTGTTAGGTTTGTAGGCGCCAGTGCGCGTTTTGCGCCGGCATGTAAGCCGCCGTTCCGCTATGTGTTGGGCTCTAATATTTAAACTCAGGGAGTCAGCGGTTCACAACTAATGATTTTCAAATGTTTGCATATACTTTATTGATTATTCTCATTTAAAGTGATTTAAAAAAAAAAAAAAAAAAATGCGTTAAAGGAGAGTACGATGTGTGTTTTGAAAAATAAAGGTGGTTCCGTGTCAAATTTAATTGTTTCCAAAGCACTTCAATTTGTCTTTTATCATCTAGTTTTCAAGAATCTGGACTCTAGATTCAATATGTTTTTATTTTCCAGTGAACAGCCGTGATTATATTTTCCCGTTTTAAATTTGTCCTATAAAGATCAGCGCTTGCGATACGGAAGGTGACGAAACACGCTTCAGATTTACTTCGAGCTTTCTAACCGTGTATCAACAATCCGGAAGTCGAATCAGCGCAAACTTTTAACACACGAACTTCCCGTGTGAACATTTTAACTCTCGATTACCCGGAGGGGAAAAGCTTTGGCAATCGACGGCGCGACGTGCAGACTTATGCACGGAAGGCGAGCGCGGGATCCCAGCACGTGGGTATCGAGTGAGGAAGCGAGGCAGTGGCATGGCGTGAATTGCGATGTATCGATTGTCATGCCATTTAAACCTATGGAAAAGGATCGATAAACAGGGTGTTCGCAGCGAACGCCTTAATAATCGATTCTTTACCAGAGTTTTAAATGGCATACCAATCGATACATCGCAATTCACGCCACGCCACTGAAGCGAAGGATGAATTGGGGACGCATTCACCGAGACGAAGGGGCTCCTCGGCCCGGGGCGGGGGTGGGGGAGGTGGCGGGGGAGGCAGGTAAATTTATGAGCAATCTGTGCCCTGGTTATCTCGCATCGAATGAAGTCTCACCTCTCAGACGTGGAGCCCGAAAACACTTCTGCCGGGGGAATTAATGCGTTGACGCCGGCGCCGCTCCCCCGATAAAAAGGCTTTTTCTCCCGCGCTGAGGAGAAACGACGTATGAACATTCGAGAGTTGCCAAATTTTCTTCGAGAAAATGTTTATTTTTGCGGAACGTTATGAATATTTTTCCTTGAAATTTTCAGGAACTTTGGGTGAAATTGCGCTCAAAATTATCTGAAAAATTGGAAGGAGAATTTGCATGAGTTTACCAGGAAATTTGTGTTTTATCAAAGGATATTTGGCAACGCCTGAAGGTTCATACGGCGTTTTTCCTTAGCATGGGAGTATTCTGGCGCTGAGGAGAAAAGTCGTATGAACCTTCCGGCGTTGCCAAATCTCCTTTGGAAAACTACACATTTACGGGAAAATGTGTGAATATTTTTCTTTAAATTTTACGGATAATTTTGTTCGCAAGTTCACATAAAGTTTCTGAAAATTTCGAGGGAAGTTATTCACAGCTTTCCTCGAAAATAAACATTTTATCGAAGGAAATTTGGCAACTTTTGAATGTTCATACGGCGTTTTTCCTCAGCAAGGCAGTATTCCAACGCCTTCGGCTGCGGGAAACAAGCGGTTTTTCAACATGGAGTGGCAAGTGGATACGGTGCTCTTAGATCATGTGCCGTCCCTTTTTTTCTCTCCATCGGCATCCAGCGTTACCTTGTAGTACGTCCTGGTTTCGAGCTTTAGTATCGGTGGATGTTCGAAACGAACATGCCCATTATCTGATAAAACATTGAGTGTGAGTATTCATATGGATCCTAGAGCTTATTGGAGAATGGACTTGCTAGGTTTTTAACATCTACCGGTTTAGTTATAGGTGAAGGGTTTTGGGCATGTTATACGCCCGCCTGGGTCAGTGTTGCCTTAGATGGGTCAAATGGGTTCGATAGTCTTTTGTCGATACCTCTCGCCGCGTGCATCTAAAAACGCATCGTTGTCAGAATGTTCAAGGGTCTTGTTTGAACTCTTTTCCAAGAACCTAAAAAAGTCACACCTTGAAAAGTTATTGGTGTGCGGCTGATATTGAACAGTGGGATGATGCGAGGCAAACCTCTATTAGCAATAGTTTTAGCTTGATTTTAAAGCTGTTTTCCCTGTGAGGCAAAACTCAGAGAACTCAGAGGCTGCGCATAGGTGTTTTCCAGAGAAGACCTGGAGGCACTCGTCAAAAGTCCTTACGGTGGCCTTTCTCATCACAAGATTTCATTCTAGCCGGATTAAAAAAGTTTCCAAAAAAGGGGCCACTTTTGGGAAGGGTATTTGACTACTTAGGTCTGTAAATAATGGTGGAAGCCTTTTCTGCGTACGGAATGTATATGGTATTTTTGTTGAAAACCACAAGTGATTTTGAACACCAACAACAAAAAGAATTGATCTCATAGCTAAATTTTCAACTCTGTACCTAATGTTCTTTTAAACATTTTTTAAACATCTTATGAGCTGTATGACTCTATATGTAATCATTCATTTTAACATTTCCAAAAAGGCTTTCTTCAATACTAGGAGTCATTCTGAAATCAACGAAACAGGTGAAGGATTCGACACTTCAGCCGTTAATTTTGAAGATTTCGCTAACGTGCGGACAAAATTCAATTTTAAAACACATGTCTTATTAGAGAGAGAAAAAGCTTATTCGATCAAAAACATTTTCTCGGATGAGTTCAGCTATTTGATGCAACACTAGGTAAATTCGAAATATCTTACTAGTTATGTTCTGATATCACGATTCAATCCGGCAACATGTCAGGAGTTTAGGACTTCTTCCATGATTAAATTATTTTAAATGTCTTATTGGGATTTTAATCTGATCACAAGTGCGGTGTCATTCGAAATGATTCCTTCCTTTCTTTAATTGCATGTGCGACACGAGAGTTGAAAAAGGTTAACATCGAAGGTGTTGTCTCGTTTAAGGGATCAAGTAGAGAAAAAATGAAAGACCTTCTCATGAATGACACCGCCACAGGAAGTGGTACTATTTTTTAGGTCCACATATCAATGGTTAAAATGTGGCACCACATATCTCCATTGCGGTGTTTCAAAATCTCAGCCTCTGGTGTATTTTCTCGAAGAGGAACAAGTCAGCTTTATAGCTCGTTATACAGAATATTCTACTTATAGAGGAGAATAGCAAGAAAGTTTTCAAAAAAGTTTGTTAACTAGTTTTCCAAGGGAAAAATTAAATAGAGTATGACGAGAAGTCTACAACGTCGCTAACGGAGATACGCGGTCTCGCAATTTTCTATCGATATACTCAAATATAGAGTGCAAAGATTTGACACAAGCGTATATACAGGCAAAGCTCAAAAGCTTGAAAGTTGCAATGATGCCGAACTTAACTTACGTATAACAATAAGAGCATGGAAATGACTCGAGCCATCCGAGAGCGAGGGGTCGTGTCTCAGCTATTCGTGAAGGGGGAAGGTCGCAGGGGGCATAGCCGCCTCATGAATCCGACTTGTCTGCAACAAAATGAAACATCATCTCAAATATCAAAATAATAAAAGGGAGATGACTAAGTGAGGAAAAAGCACACGAAAACCAAGCCAGGCAATACAAATACAATAGATAGAGATTAAAACATGGGTAACGAGGCTGTAACTGAGGCAGGGTGTCTCGAGCTGTGATTGCAGTCGGTACCGACTGTTTTGATAAACTTGTTAACACTTTCTTTTGGAGTTGATTACCAAATTTCCGTTGCGTGAATCGTTTTCTCAGTAAAATTTGAGAAATTTTGGGATTTTTTCATGTGACTTTTTCCTAGCTCAGACTTTGACTGGTGGCTCATTTTACGCTTTCCATCGACACAAAAAATGAACTGAACATCGCGTAGCTTATTTTTAGGACACTAAAGAGAGTCTCTTGTCGGGAGCTCAAAATTTGACACTTGGACCTAACTTGACTCAGATCGCTCCACTGAAAATGAAGCCTCCGTGGACTAAGATCCATTATTTCTAACTGTCGGCATAATAGCAAACCCAGATAATTTTTCTGTACATAAATCAAGAATGATTCCGCAACAAAATATTTCTAAGCAAGGGTATGTTTTCATTTTTTCGCGAGCCGGCGAGTTTTCTTCCAGCCGGACGATTTCGACCAGCCTCGTCGCAGCCGCTCGACCTCGAGTAAGTAATATTTCGTCGGGAAAGTTTTCGGCCGAATGTGAGAAAGTCTCCCGAAAACGGGGCATTATGCACGCGGGAATCGACGGAAATTTATTCGCCTGCATAAAAATACTGAATATTTTCTCGGCGGCGCTCAAATTACACCCCGCGCACCCTAACCCCTCCGCCCCCGCCGCACTCCACCCCCTCCCCCTCACGGCTCCCCCGCGAGCCCCGTGTTTGACAACGTCATGATTTTGCGCCGTTATCAGAATCAACATCTGACTCGCCCTCTTTTATATTCAGCCGGGGGTTTTGGTTTTCCCTCTCGCCGGGAATTTCTATTGCTTCGTCAAACGTCTCGCGACTTTCTCGGGGCCCCGAATTTCTGGTCAAACAGTGGACCGCTGGACCCTCGCCGCGGCCATATTGATTAGCCGGACGCTGGACGATGGGAGTCNGGGGGGGGGGGGGGAGTGAGATTCCTGGGGGATTTCAGGGGCACGGTCTCCGCCGTCACGGGCCTCCAGACTGGCGTGGATGCTAAATGTATGCAGAATAACGGCGGAGAGGGAGGAAAACTGTATATTTAAACACCATTGCATTTTTTTTGAGGTTATTAACTGAAAAAATTAAATTTCGACGAAATGGACTTGATGATTTCCGAGCGAAAAATTTTAAAGTCTGAAATACACTTCTTACTTCATGATCTGTGTTGAAAAAAAAATCCCGCTTCAAAAACGACCTTACGGCACGGGAAAGGGGAATTGTGTATCTCGGAAGGGAAATCGTTTTATCCCACCCTTGCGCACTTGAATGCCACACAATATTCGACATGGTTTACACCTCCGCGCGCAAATCGTGAGAAATTAGCACCATGGTATATATCAACGCTGGGAAGATGTACCTATTAATACGCCGGTTGATAAATTCCCGTCTCGTTAAGTTTGTTTTGGCGGGCTGGCATCGGCCATGTTGAATATTGTGTGGCATCCTAGTGCGCGAGGAATTAGATGGAACGAAAATTTTCACATATGCCGTGATATCTTTTTGAAGCGGGAAGCTTAAAACCCCGCCTATTTCTTACGCCGATTGTGAAGTTAGGAATGTATTTCAGACTTTTCAGATGCGCTCATCGTGAATGTCAAGCTAAATATTTTCTATATATTTTGCTGTAGCTAAAGTTTGCAACCGCCCCATTATACACGGAGAAAAAAACCTCGTGCGTGGGACCCGAAGTTTAGGTCATATGGATCTCGGAAGTTTTCGGATTGAGCATCCGAACACTATAGGTCTATCAGTCGAGGTTCGGATCACACATCTGAAACTCCAGTTCTTACATCTGAAGTACTTCAGAAGTACATACTTTCGAAGCATTTCGGTTTCGAAGTTTTTCGGATGTGAGAACCGAAGTTGTTCGGATGTGAAAACCGAAGTACTTCAGATGTAAGAACTGAAGTTTCAGATGTGTGATCCAAACCTCAGCAGCTGGACCTAAAGTGTTCAGATGCTCAATCCGAAAACTTCAGAGATCCATATGACCTATACTTCGGGTTCAACGCACGAAGTTTTTTTCTCCGTGTAGCGTTTAGAACTGGAGCTTTTTTCCGTGTATTTTCCATAGATCTTGTCACCCTGAGTCACACAAGAAAATGATAGCCATGGGGTCCTCAGGACGTTCACGAAAGGAGTCGTTCAATTTCGGACTCAAGTTGGCAACTTGGCGTCTAAGTCGCGATTCTGCAGTGATTTGCTGGCTAATGCCGGGCAGACTACTCGCTGGTGCTCCTCTCTTTTCCCTTTTGATTGCCTCTCCAAACAAACTCGATGGCCGAATGTGCGCAACCCACTTAAGTCCGCCTTCCCTGCTCAATCAATCGTGGACATCGTGCGTCCCTCCAGGAATCCGCCTTCCCTTTCTTCCCGACGCAACTCCAAGCTTAACGAACGTTCCCTCAAATCCCTGCCGACTCCTCCCGATCATTTTTCTACTCTCCTGTCAGTTCAGCCACCGGACTTCATGTCAGTTTACAGAACGCATTGATCGAGATTTTATAACGGTCCTGGGTACACACTATTCTGCAGCGAAAGCAAAGCTGGGAAAATTTTAAGTATTTTAATTAAAGAGATGGGAGAGGGGGCGAGGGGCAAGGTAGGGAGGATGGGGGGGGGAGAAATAATAACTCTAATGCAAGGTACAAAATTGAGTGTCACTGGTCCTTTTAAATCTCTACTTCTGATTATGTTTGGAATTTTCTTTGCTTTATCTATCTTCTAGTATATTGACGAAGTGTTTTTCCCCCCCATCGAATTTACAGTTATTTCCAATTTTTTTTCTTTTAAGCAAATTTTTCAGTGAATGGTGTGCGATGAAAAAAACCAATCTCCCATTTTTTGTCATTGCGCCGAAGACTTAGTGATGCAGCATCAGTATCCTGCTGGTGACTGACCGTATGACGATTCGCCTTCAATGTAGCGGGTAGGTAAAGAACTATCCTGCGAGTTGAAATATTTACGTGCTCCTTGACTGCACTAACAACGAGAATGATTTTAAAATTCCAGTACATATGCAAATATTGAAAGTATCTCCAGGAACGCATTTTATCGGAGGTAGTGCGAAGCGAGTCGCTTTCAATTTAGCGGGTAGGCAGACAACTATTTTACTTGGTAAGATATATATATGTCGATTATTTTTTGTCGATTATTTCACTTTGTCGATTATTTCATTATGTCGATTATTTCACTGTGTCGATTATTTCGCTATGTCGATTATTTCACTATGTCGATTATTTCACTGTGTCGATTATGTCACTATGACGATTATTTCACTAAGTCGATTATTTCACTGTGTCAATTATGTCACTATGACGATTATTTCACTATGTCGATTATTTCAGTATGTCGATTATTTCACTACGTCGATTATTTCACTTTGTCGATTATTTCACTAAGTCGATTATTTCGCTACGTTGATTATTTCACTATGTCGATTATTTCACTATGTCGATTATTTCACTACGTCGATTATTTCACTATGTCGATCATTTCACTTTGGCGATTATTTCGCTACGTCGATTATTTCACGACGTCGATTATTTCACTATGTCGATTATTTCACTATGTCGATTATTTCACTATGTCGATTATTTCACTATTTCGATATTATTTCACTATGTCGATTATTTCACTGTGTCAATTATGTCACTAAGTCGATTATTTCACTACGACGATTATTTCACCGTGTCAATTATGTCACTACGTCGATTATTTCACTATGTCGATCATTTCACTTTGGCGATTATTTCGCTACGTCGATTATTTCACGACGTCGATTATTTCACTATGCCGATTATTTTACTATTTCAATTATTTCACTATGTCGATTATTTCACTATGTCAATTATTTCACTGTGTCAATTATGTCACTAAGTCGATTATTTCACTATGTCGATTATTTCACTACGACGATTATTTCACCGTGTTAATTATGTCACTATGACGATTATTTCACTATGTCGATTATTTCAGTATGTCGATTACTTCACTATGTCGATTATTTCACTTTATCGATTATTTCACTTTGTCGATTATTTCAATACGTCGATTATTTCACTACGTCAATTATGTCACTAAGTCGATTATTTCACTATGTCGATTATTTCACTGTGTCAATTATGTCACTAAGTCGATTATTTCACTATGTCGATTATTTCACCGTGACCATTATGTCACTATGACGATTATTTCACTATGTCGATTATTTCAGTATGTCGATTACTTCACTATGTCGATTATTTCACTTTGTCGATTATTTCACTTTGTCGATTATTTCGCTACGTCGATTATTTCACTACGTCAATTATGTCACTAAGTCGATTATTTCACTATGTCGATTATTTCACTATTCATATGGAGAGATATAACGTGTTTCTTAAGTATGGTAACATCTCTTACAGACTCAAATATCAAAATGAAAACAATTTTCCGAGCAACATGAACAATTCGATTGAGGCGACTTTCAATCGACGTAGGCACTATCACAGTGTTAACTCTTAGATCAAAACGTGAAAAAGTCGTGCACGGCTTTGGAGCAAAAAAATAAACCACGATTTCGCAAAACTAGACAACTCGGTCTTGGTACAACCCCATTTCGTGACGAATATTAATTCCGGATGAAAAGATGCTACCCGGAAGAGGGTGGACGGACGAAAGTCCTCATCTGAGAGCTGTGAGATTATACACAAAATACTCGGAGGATACCAAATATTAGCATAAGATACGAGTCACGGTCTGGATCAGGGGCTTAAACGTGCCCTAATAACCCCAATTGAGTGGAGAGATCACTTCTCTGGTTCTTG